TTGTCACATGATTAAGGCAGTATAATAATTATTATCTGTGGTAGTTATATAAGATGGTGATAGTGACTGAACAAGGTACTTACCTTGTGTCAGATACCATGCTAAGCACGTTGTAGGCAATCCAGGATATCTGACCCTGAAGCCTGTCTTCACCACCAAACTGTGAACTCATGACAGGGAGCCACTATGGCATACACACTTTTATCTTCCCCATAACCAACAGTCCCTTCCATGCAAGAAATGCTTACCGTATGAATGAATAAATAGTGTGGTACTCATAATCCTACAGATTCCTGTTTCTTGTTTCTTCACTCACACACTAACCTGTGCACTGCTGCTGTTCAGATTTAACATATGTAAAGTCCTGAGTCATTTGACTTTAAGACACAGAGATTTTTCCAGATGGGCCTGGCCCAATCAGGTGAACTTATTAAAAGTAGCAATTGGAGGTCAGAGAGATTCCAAGAATGGAGAGATTTAACATGCCAAAGCCAAAAACATACATGGTGACATCAGTCCTACAACCACAAGGAGCTGAATTCAAACAAACAAGGAGCCTGAAAGGCAACCTCAGTCCCACAATCACACCTTGGTTTCAACCCAGTGAAGCCCTGGGCAGAGACTCTAGCTACCCTAACCTAGGCTTCTGTCCTATGTAACTGTTAGACATTAAATGGATGTTGTTATAAGCTGCTATGCTTGTGGTAATTCATCAGGTAGCAATAAGAAACAAGAGGTTTTCAGTCCTATGAAGACATTTGTGGCCAAGCTGTGGACCAAGGGTTCCACTGAGTCTTAAAGAAATCACTGATGGCTCAGCTGTAGCTCCATGGAGGAGCTATGCCTATCAAGGAATTCCATTCCTATCCACAAAGTGAATCAGAATTTAATGACAGAGCTAAATCCTACAGGCTCTAGAGCACCGGACAAAGAATAGGGAGTCTCAGTGGTTAGTCCCAGCTCTGGCATCACCTAGCTAAGTGACTCTGCCAAGTTATTTTGGGTCTCTGAACCACAGTCCCTTCATCTGTAAGATGGGGATAAAAGCATTTTTGGAAAGGTCTTACCTCCTTGAAGAGCTGAACTAGGGATGTTACTGTTTAAGGTATCAACGGGAAACAAATCAAATGTATAAAAGAGTTTATGAGATAAAATTTGAAGATAGATTCAGAACTCCCAGGAATAATCTATTCATACATCTTTCATCCATTTCTCAGGGTCATAAATGAGGTGAAAATAAGATAATGGGTCCACTGAGCCATATAAGTTGTGGCCAGTTCTGAAGGAAAGTATTGGTATTCCTCAATCACCGGTCCTAAGAGCTTTAAGAAGCTCTCTGCCCAGTTATGAGACTAATCAAATTCAGGTGATGAGGCAGCCTCCAAGGGCTCCAGATCATAGCTGTTCCTTCCCTACTAGAAGCAGGCTGCTTTTCCTTGTGGTTCCCTGGGAAAGTAATGGTCATCATAAAAATAATGCCTCCAGTTCCAAAAGCACTTTTCAAAGTGCCTTCCCTATACCATTTTCATCCCAAAAGCTTAGATCCACTAAAGGGAAAAGAATGAACTCAAAGTCTTTCTAGTTCTGAAAGTCTTCATTTCTCACCATAATAAAAGTCCCGCTCAGTGTAGGAGCATTATCCATTGTACAAAACAGAAAGACTGAGGCGGGGGTGATTTCCTAAAGTGGCAGGGCAGCTTTGTGAAAGAGCAAATGTTCTCCTTGCCAGTCTTGGCCTCTGATGCCTCCAGCTCCCTGCTTCGAGTTGGAACTGGGTAGATGTGCTGTTCTCAGATAGGGTCTGTGCTCTACCTCTAGCGGGATTGAGCTGTAGGTGGAGAGGAATGGCTCATGCTCAAGCCCCCATTTTATGAATCAGACACAAATAAAGATCCATAGTTATGATGCATTTCAAAAAGCCTTTTCTCCCAGGCTGCCAGCTATTCCACAGGTGACACTTGCTGGCTGATAAGCAGCAAGGTCTTTCTCTGGTGTCTTCATTAAGGAAGTCAGGAGGTGGGGAATACCATGCAGAGAACTGCTCGCAAAGATGCTCACGGTACCCAGCAGGCAAATATTAATTAAAAGACAACAAGGGAGAAGGAGCTTTAAGCCTGGAACTTTCTTAGGAGGCCTTTGAGCTTTAGCAGATGATCTTGAACTTGTGATGACCTAGCTGGATCTCTCAGCTCAATAATGTTGGAAAAGGAGGCAGCCATCCTGAACACGTAGTTTGGTGCCATCAATCCCAACACCCCAGACCATGAGCAGTGTTTGATTCTCCTGATCCTAACAATTCTTCTCAATCTGTCTAATCCTGTGTGAATGGAGCTGCCAGGTAATAAGAGAGGCAACATTTATGTACCCATTCTTACTGACAACCTACACAGTCCAGGGCACTAGAGATATAACACTGCACAAAAGAACTGAAAGATTCCTTGTTTTCTCATAGAGCTTACGGTCCAAGGGCACACAGATGCTCAAATAAACAGACAGACATCAGACTTCATCTCCCATGAGGACTACATGGGGCTCGTTCTACATTCGAACGTTAAAAAGGTGATGGTGACGATGAGATTTGAAGAATGCACGGGGGCTGAGGGGACCAGAGCAAGATACACTCAGGGTGGGAGTCTTCTGAATATGAGGGACCAGGCCAGATGTGGCTGCGCAGGCCTGTAATCCCAGCACTCGGGAGGCTGAGGCAGGAGGATCGCTGTGAATTCAAGGCCAACCTACACTACATACTGAGACCCTGCCTCAGAAAAATGAATATGAGGGACCAAACAAAGAGCAGTGGGACAAAAGTACATAGAGGATGTCACTGGGTGACAGTGGAGAGCAAGTCAATGATCAGCAAACAAGGGCCTTGAAGGTCCCTGGAAAATTTGAACTTTATTCCAAGTGTTAACAAGAAGGCTTTCTCCTTTGTTATAAGCAGGGAATTGACATGATGCAATTAATATTTTTCTAAAGATTACTCCTGTTGCTCTGTGAAGAATGGATTAGGCTGTAGTATGAGACTGTAGGGAAGGTGTCAAACGATGTCAGCACTCATATCTGTCACCTCCCAAGGTGGAAAAAAAGCACTACACTAGTTTTTCAAAGATTAGTATGGGTCCTGAGGTGCTGGGGGAGTTATTTTGTCTTTATCTATTTTGCTATACTATTCCGGAGATGCAGTACACACTGGTCTATCTTCTCATAATTTCAAATCACAGACTCACAGAGATGGGAGGAGTATAAAAAGAAGCAGCTGGCCATGGCCCATAAGGTCACTTGACCCTTCTTCTGTCTTCCTTAGTATCCTGTCCCCAGTCTTTGGTACCCTTGGGTTTGGAGAATAGCTACCAAACACATCTTTGTAGATAGTTCACAACTTGGACACCTTAAGCAATGGCAAAGCTCTCCCATCCCCAGGGTACCCATCTCAACATAGCACCACCCTTTCCATCAAAAATGTCTCCCTCCTACTTAAAGTTTGTTCCCGGGGAACATCTGCCAGATGCTGCTAAGTCATGTCATGTGATCAAGTCTCATGCCAACCCTTCAGGAAACGTCTCCCCATGACTTCTTTTCTGGTGATGTGTGCCCTCTTTGGGCACCTGGACAAGACTTAGCTTTGCTCCACTCTGCAAGCCTCATTCTTTTGGATGCTTCCTGTCTCCATGGTCCTCTTAATGTAAAGTATCTGGTAGCATTGTTTCCCACATAGCAAGCTTAAGAAATATTTGTTGGGATTTCTGAGAGTGAACACTGTCTGCACAGAGTGAAAAGTAATCTCCAGGAAACTCAGACCAAGTAAAATGCAGAAGGATGTGAGAATAAGACAGAGGGGTCCAGCATGGTCTGGAAAGTACTGAGGAACAGCGGAATGACGTGGCAGGCCTGGGTTCCGCTCCAGAGGTACCGTGTGATTTGAGACTCTCGGGCTTCTTTATCCGGAAAGCTCAGGTTGGCTTGGTGATCTCTTGGATTAACACTGGTTTTAATTAATTGCTGTCACCTATTTAAAGCTCTGAGCTTGAAGTTCTCAGAGCAAGTGTCAGGGCTTAGAAGTACAGTAGCACTGGGATGAAGGTGCCTTAATAAATTAACCAGATGGAGAGAGAAATAGAATGCAAGTAACTTCATCACTATGTGATTCAGATCACCCGTGTAATATCCACATCACCTGATAGTGTCTTTCAAAAGCTCTAGGCTTGGAAATAACCCAGCCAAATGAGAGGGATCACAGTGGAGCTCCACTAGTCTATGCCTGTCTTCATTGTTTTGGGCATGAATGAGAAGAATGGTTCAAGGATAAACTTCTAACCTCATATAGGATTGCTATACTTGGCTTTTCGACCTTTTCATTTCAACAAAATCTTTTTTGTGCTGGTGGTGGGGTGTGGTACTTACAACTAGTGGCGACACTCCCCACAGTGGCTGGAGTGTGGATATTCTCATTCTATTTTCAATATAGTCTTCCTTTCCTTCTTGGTAGGCCATTCTGTTAGCAATCTTTGAAGCCAGCAGGGCAATAATGAGAACACAGTCTGAGCAATCCTTCTTGACCAGTCAAATGTGTTTATCATCTGTACAAACTCATTTGCATTCATATAAACTATATATACGCACAAATATCTGGTATATACGTAGCTAACATTTGGAAGAAGGTTTGTACATGTTGGTGACTTCTGTGGACAGGTGTTGACATATACGTGCCTTTAGTGAGCTGTGCCCTGGTGTATATATCTGCATGGGTAAAATGAGGGGGAATGTGTATCTGTGTGTTTTATCACCACTGAAGGAAAACAACCCCATAGCACCTTATTTGTGATAAGGACTGAAACACGGAATCTCTCTGACAGTTGAGTTTTCACATCTTGCTGACAGAAGAGAGGGTGTAATAGGCTTTGACAGCTCTGCTGACAAGGCTGAGCCTGGCTCTTGGCCCCTCCCCATGGCCCTCTGCAACTAATGTCTGTGCTTCTGGTTCCTCTTCCCTTTGCCCGCAGGTCCCTGTCTGGACGCATCGTTGGTGGCGTCTGGTGGTTCTTCACCTTGATTATCATCTCCTCCTATACAGCCAATCTGGCTGCCTTCCTGACTGTAGAGAGGATGGTGTCTCCCATCGAGAGTGCAGAGGACCTGGCAAAGCAGACAGAAATCGCCTATGGGACCCTAGAAGCAGGATCTACTAAGGAGTTCTTCAGGGTAAGGCCATGTGTTCTGAGGCATGCGCACAAGAGAACCACCACTGCTATTAAAACTTCCTTCTCCTTAAAGGGCATGGGATTACAGACAGGCAGGGAAACTGCTTAACCAAGTGCAAGTCAGGAAAACTCAGAACTTCACCTCCCAGGAAGCCCAGACACAAACTATACAAGAACGCCATGGCTCTCCTTTTAATTCATATGGATCTGTTCTTACGAACTTTTACAGGTGTTGGACTATTTTCAATATTTCAGTATTTGAGAAGCTCAGGAGAAGATTTTGACTGTGAGATCCACACTTGGTATTCAGCCTAAGAAGCCCTCTGCTCCAGAATGGGCTAGAAGCCAAAGCTAGCAGTCACTTCTGCACTCTCACCGGGGGTCCTGTGTCCGGTGCACAGAGCTCAGGTTCTAGGTTCTCCTCAGAGGAAAGCCAGAACTACTCTCTTGTTCAGCCCAGTGGTGAGGAAGGCTTCACAAAGAAGCTTTCTACAGACCCTGGGAAATGCATATTTCTATTTTTGCAGATTCTTCAAAGCTCCTACATTGTTTTAAACCCCTTCCACCTACTCAGCTGTGCTAATTCTCTGAGGGATGCCAAGGATGTCAAAGGTGACTCCTTATCCGTCCCCACAAGGATGCGACAGTCTAGTTAACAATGGACTAGGAGTAGTTTATGGATAAGATTGGGATCTTGCTCTTTGAGTTCCCTTCAATTTCATAGCAGGAGCTCAGGGGATGTTTGTTAGCCCGATGAACAAGAAGATAGTAGATTGGAAAAAAGAACTGGGATAGGCAATCTGTTAAATTGTGCCAGGAGTGAGAGAAAAAGTGAAGGAGGTGGTGAGATGGCTTCTGGGTGCTGTGAACAAAGGTAGAACAGCAATGCACACAGAGCAGAGGCTCAGGGTCAGCTAGAGGGAGTCTAGAACCCGACTCCAGACGTTACTCGTTTTGCACACTTAGCCTCTTTGAAAAAGATGATGCAGTTGTCTTTAAAATGGGGAGAATAATGTTTGTCTCCATGCATCTTCATGAGAGTAAAAGAGAAAAAGCAACTGAAATACAAAGCAAAGCAGATAACATGACTGGCAGCGCCATCTACCATTAGGGCTTCAGGGCTGACCTGAAAGCATTTCTAGGTATCATAAAACTGGGTCAGACCCTAGTGGGATAAGTTAATGCTGGGCAAAGGAAACAACTCGGACCAAAGCCCAAAAGCGGAAAATCCTGGACAGTGGACATGTCCATCCTGGGAGCTGAGCAAATAGCCATTGGAGCTAAAATAGAATGACCAAATAAAAATAATCAACAATCACTACTACTTACTCAGTACCCACCGTGAACCAGGTCCTGTGCTAGGCACATGCTAGTTGAATGACCTCATTAAACCCTCTCATTAGAGAGAAGTCAGAGACTGCTGTCCCCATTTTGTAGATGAAGCTCCAAGAAGTAAAGGTCACACAGTTAATTAGTAGCAGAAGGAGCTGGGAGAGGTGCTCAGCCAGGAGGGTGGGGGCCTCATGCAGACTCACACAGGTTTTCGCTGCATCTTCACAGAGCAAACCCCAGGCCCGAAGTAACCCACTGTGGGATGTGCTACCGTGCCTTGACCATGGGCTTCTTCTCTGTGTGACTGACTGGAAAGTGACCTGTGTCTTAGCCCTCACTGAACCCAACAAGGCTACAATCATCTGTTATCAAAATGCCAGAGCAAAAAGGTGCCTGAGTAGTCACCAGTTCAGAACTTGTCATTTTCAAAAGAGGCCAACTTGCTTAAACTTACCTTGCTAATTAGCAGAAAAATCTCATTACACTTCTGTGACCTTGTTAGCCTGCAACCAAAGTGTGAAGGAGATACCTAATAATTGTCAGTGCAACCAATCCTATGTCCCAACCCTTGATGCATTTGGGGAACAACCTAATATACTCAACGATACTGCCATCTCTAAAATATATACACCCTATGTCCATCCCAAAGCCAATGGTCTTTCAGGCCCATGGTCTCATTTAAGTTTTACCTGTGACCTAAGGCAAAACAAGGATTATGGTGTCCACCTGTAGATTACAAATTAGATTCAATTAGATTCAGGAAATTCAAGTGTTATGGCAAGAAATTAAATCTAAGTTTTTTCATTCCAACTCAAATATTTTTCCCATTGAACTACAGTGCCCTGATGTCACAGTGTTATTAACTAATAAATGATCCTGAAAAGATCACTCTGAGTACCAAATGGACCTGTGGACAAATCTATTCTATTCAGTTAATACTTGGGGAAATCAAGTCCCACTGAAGAAAACTATTCTACCGTATTTAATGAGAGGGACAGCTGAGACTTGAGACTTTAAAGTTCTTTGTTAATAATAGTATCAGTTGGGGCTGGGGATTTAGCTCAGCGGCACAGCGCCTGCCTGGCAAGTGCAAGGCCCCGTACCAGAAAATAATAAAAAAAAAAAGACAAACAAACAAACAAAAAAAAAATAGTATCAATTGAGACATTATTGCCCCTTGTTCACAGCACAAACTAGAAATCTGAAACCAAAACAGTGCAAGTTCTGTGCCCTAACTAGCCTACTATATTGGTGGTAAATAGGTTCTAAATTATATGCTGGCTTTGATTGACCAATAGTTGTTGCTGGATCCTATGTTGAGAGGGATTCTGAGGTCACATCTAGGCTGAGTTCCAAAAAAATTCTTTGATATGCATGCCCGCCATGTAACATAAATATAGAAAAAAACTGGTATCAAGCAAGCCCTCTATGTAGCCTCACTATGGTAAAGTAAACCCTCATAAAAGGAATAATTACTAGTAGTAATTGTACCATTTACAGACTGCCTTCTTCATGCCAGGCCCTGGGTTAGCTTTTTACCTATACAGTCTCTGCAGCAATACTCTATAATGGATAACTGTTATAACCATGGTCAGAAGGGGAGCAGTGAGGCTCAGAAAGGTTGTTATTTACCCGCCGTCCTGCAGCCAGTAGGATATGAAACCTAAAATGAGGGAGAGAACTAGTTGTGGTGGAACGGTAGAAGGTGTGCAATCAAGAACCCAGTGTTTTATTCCTGGCTTTCCCACTAACAAGCTACACAACACTGGATAGTTCATAGTCGCACCATGGCTCTTACTTTCTTTACCAGCAGAAGCAGAGCACTCCTAAGATAGGTCTCCTGTGCCCCCCATCTCCGTGACTCTGATCTTTCATGCCACCAAGTCATCAGTAAGAGTGGAGACAAGATCACATACCACGCCCCACCAAGGCAGAAAGAGGGAATAGTGAGATGAGGCCTCTTCCACCTCCCCTGTCTGAAGAATGTAGCATCTGGTCCCCATGGCAGCCCAGAGCTCCTTGGCAGTCCCAGCTCACAGTCACTTAATCCTCCATCCATAGTTTAATTAAGATGTGTGAAGGGCCAAGGGAGTTGCAGGTGATAGGTGATATCCCAGAACAAATACCCCAAGTATGCTTCCAGTCTTCCCCGCCACTCATGCTACCCTCACATTCTTGGCGATTCGGTTTCCTGATAGTCCCAGTGCCCGTGAGCGCAGCCATCACATCCGAGGCTGTGGGGCGGGGCTGAGAGGACATATTAATTTTCTGCATACTGTTGCCCAGAGGGCTCCTCTGCTCTGCCTGTCAGCAGCCCGGCTCCCTGCTGTGTCCATCCTGTCAGGTCAAATTGCATCTTGCAATTGCTCTGCTGCGTGTTTTGTTGGTTTTGTGCCTGGAAGATCATCTGCAAATCTGATCACAGTTGAATTTATACATTTTGTTGTTTCCTGGGAGAGAATATTAAGTACATTGGGGATGCTGTGATTAGGTCTGAGTGTTTTCTCCCTTAACCTCAGACTCGTTCTCCCTTTCCTCCCTCCTTTCTTCTTTCTCACATAGACATCGTTGCTTGAACAGCATGCTTTTATGTAAAGAATCAGATATTTCAAGTTAGCAAGGGACTTAAACACTATCATGCCAAAACTCCTTCTGAAATAAATAGGAAAACTAAGGCCCAAAGCAAAGGACTTTTCCCATATAGCAAATCATGCCTTAGATGTAAAACTAAGTCTAGAATCCAGGGCTCCTCATGCCCCATCCAGTTATCCTGTCCAAGTTGTAAGCCATGTCATGAAATAAATGACCTAGTTTATCTGATGACAAAATAGTAAAAGTTAAAACTCACTGCACCAAATGCCTCCCTGTATTTCTCAGTAATCATTTCCAGTATTGTTTCCTCCAGATCTAGAATTTCCCTGCCCAAAGTATCCTTACAGATCTGTTACCTGAAATGACAGCTGTGTATCGTTATCTTACTAACACTTGACGTTGACTGATATCAAGAACATAAACCTGATACTTAGGCACACAGAAAAAATGATATATTGCATGCATAATGATTTTATATTAAATAAATATATAATCTATTTTTGGGTGTTAGGAATTGAACTCAGGACCTTGGTAATTTATCTTCAACCACTAAATTATATAAGTTGTATGAATCTAGTAGTAATTCTCTTTTTTTAAAAAAAAAAGTCCCTCATATATAAATTTAATGCTCAGCTACTTACAAAGCATTTTCAAAGGTAAACTCCGGTTTCCCTAAAATATACCTATCCCTTAGGAAAAGGACATTTTTTGGAAGCCCTTTTGAGATGAGAGGATTGATTTGTAATCCTGAACAGTGGGCCCTGACCAAGAGCCTACCACACGCAAGGTGCTCAAATAAACTGTATGAGGAACCCTCTGAAGACAAGGCATTTTCTACTTTTAGGTAGTATTTGACATCTGTGAACAAAAGATCATTCGCAGAACAAATCAAGACCACCAGGTAGCCTTCCCTGAATCAGTCTCTAGATTTACAGTGGAAAACATGCACTTCTGCGATCTCTGTACATAATTCCACTGGCTACTAAAGGTTAAAAACTATTTTTCTTGAAACTGAGCTGTTCTGCAAATACATAGGATTTAGTCTGGTCTATGAAACTAAGAGAAAGATAGGGCTGGAAAGGACCAGCACAGCATGCAGAATAAACAATCTAAGCAAAATCCCAAAGGAAAGACAGCCTTCGATGAGTTAGAAGAAAATGAAGAAAGCAGCTTGATTAGATCTGGAGGCTTTTGAAAAGACATCAAGTAACAATATTTGGTCTCAAGTTATTAACTTTCTCAGACAAGCAACATTTTTAGAGCAAGCCTTACAATATGGAAGGACTAGACCTCGGCAACACATAACCTAGAAGTTTCTCATTGCCCTTTTCCAATGATAAAATCAGATTCCACTGACATTCAGCTCTCTCCTTCATCTGGACAATACCAATATAACCTTACTGAAGAATAGGTAGGGTCTATGTGGTCCTTAAAAGCCAGGCAGGTATCCAGTTGCTTAACTCTCCCCATATTTAGAAAGAATATAATTACTCAGAAGTAATTAAAAGATTGAGTTCCTCTGCTCATTCGGTATTTGCAAGATATTTGTACTTTGGAACCTACTGGTACTAATTAGAGGCTCTTATTTTGCAATCACTCATAATTTGTTTCTTCCTGAGCTAATCTGGCTCATGAATGTGTGATCAAGCTACACTCAGCTCTTCATTAACGTGCATGCCTACCCCAATTCAAGCACAGCCAGCACTTAATTCTGGCTTTGTTCCTGCCCTCTGCCAGAGATCTAAAATCGCTGTGTTTGAGAAGATGTGGACATACATGAAGTCAGCAGAACCATCAGTTTTTGTGCGGACCACAGAGGAGGGGATGATCCGAGTGAGGAAATCCAAAGGCAAATACGCCTACCTCCTAGAGTCCACCATGAATGAATACATTGAGCAGCGGAAACCCTGTGACACCATGAAAGTGGGAGGTAACTTGGATTCCAAAGGCTATGGCATTGCGACACCCAAGGGGTCCGCCCTGAGGTAAGTAGCCAAGATTTGCTTCCTTCCTACTCCCTCTGCTCCCCCGATCTCAGGAAGGAAGCTGCTCTGTCTGCCACGTGGCTCCAAAGTTCAATGCAAGCTATCAAGTGAGTCCTTCTTCAACACCGGTGGGCCTGGCAGATTCCAGCCACCTGAGACCGTCAGCCCTGAGGTTGGACACTTACCCAGGGGTCTCAGCTTGCTATGACTGTCACTGCCCGTGTGTTCTTCCCCACACTGCACCTTACCCCTTTGCGTGTGTTAAACGCCCGTGAGCCTTGTGCTTTTTGTCCTGTGATCTGTAACGCCCCATCCTTTACTAGATACCCCTGCATCCAGCTACTCTGTGAACAGGGCTCTCCAGCAACCTGAAATTTTGACAAGAAATGGTTTGTAATATTTGTCTCAAAAGAAACATAACCACATTGTCCAAATGAAAAAATCAAGTCTTGAGACTCTGGTTGTAGAAACCCACATAGCTCTTCATAAATAGCACCAAATTCATAGCAGCTCATATTCTTACCTACACATTCATTTCTTTAGCAAGATACAGGTAGTTCCATAAAGTAGCGAAGTAGATTTTACTTTCACATAAAGAAGCTCTAATATTCACTCCAAAGAGCTGAGGCAGAATCCAACAGGCTTGGAGTCAGAAGACCTCGATCTAATTCTGGAATTCACTGCTGACTGACTGTCTTACAGAAGATAAGACATTTCATCTCCCAATCTTCAGTTCCTTAATCTTCAAAGAGGATAACCATCCTAGCCTTGGTCCGAGGTAGTTATGGATTCAAATAGGATGATCTGTGCAGATAGTAACTGAAAGTCACCTGTGAGAAATTCTGTCACTTACAGAAGGATTAAGTCATTTGAAGGAAGGGTCAAATTCCAGGAAGAGTAAGAAGTATTAATAAAGGCTGCAAAAGGCTGGAGGGGGTTCTTTACCCAACTTGACATGGCATCCAGGGCCACCTCTGCCTCTACTTCATTCACTTCAGTGATTTTGAGTTCCAACATTGTTCGAGGCACTGGTATAAGACCTTAAGTTAGAGGTTTGAATAAGATATAAACCCTGTCTCCATGGACTACATTATTGTGGAGAGACAGACATTAAATAAATGATTATTATCTAATATTCAACAGCAATTATGATAAATACTGGGACAATCTATAAGGGCACTAGGGAACATCCATTTACAGCAATATGGCAGAATAATATTCTCACTAGAAAACCTAGATATACTGGATAAGATAAAACAAATAGCCTTTTAAATGCAAGTGAGTAAATCTCTAGGGTCCAAAGGAAAACAAATGAAAACTAGAATGAAAAAGGTAATGAATAAAGTAATTATGCCAAAACTACCATAATCAAGGCAAAATTATGAATGAGGTGACAATGCACACGCTCAATTAGGACAATTAAACACATAAAAGTAATCAAAAACATTTTAAAAGAAAAATACATCATTAAAGATCAGATATTTGATGATGTTTGATTTAGAATTTATAGTAATAAAATATGTTCTGTGATAGAAAATCTTAGTGGAAGGGTTAAACTACAAATTGGACAAAACTGAAGAGATAATTAGTGTACTGAAGAAAAAACAGATAATTCTTCAGAATATCACACAGAGAGATAAAAAATAGAAAAATATACTAAAGAAGCTGAAAAACAGGAAAGAGAAAAAGTCAATTTGCTATGAGTTTCAAATGGAGATGGTGGAGTACATGCAATATTATAAAGGAATTTTCTAAAATCTATGGAATACATAAAACCTCATATTTGAAAACTGAGACTCCATCAGGACAAAAAGATGGAAATCGATAGCTGATCCAATTGAAACTGCAAAACAATAAAGACAAAGGCAAGATCTCAAACACACTGAGATATAAGAAGGTCCAATCCAGTCTACTGTGGAGTGGAGTCTGGCTTGGAGACATCTCCAAGGATGCTTCTTTTCAAAGCTGAGGACACACATTAACAGGAGTCAACAGGTGAAGTGAGAGGAAGGGAACAAAGAGAGAGCTGTGCACACCCAGAGTCTGTGGCAAGAAATTACAGCCCACTTGATGCGGAACAAAGAGCAACTGCATGTTCCTAGGACACAGGTATTAAGGGGGAGGGAAGGTAAAGCTGAGATTAGAATGAGGTAGGAAAGGATTTTGTAAAGAAAGTTTGTCCTTATTCAGAGAGCAACGAAAATGATTTGAAGAATTCTAAGTAACTGTCTGGAAGTTAAAAGAACAAAGATATCTGCTGGAATGTAGACATGATTAATAGGACCTAATGAAGGGAAATCTAATGACCTGGTACTTATCTGCAGATATTTTTGCCTAGAAGAACTTTAAAGACTTTTTGTACAAGTTTGGTCAAAATTGAAAGAAGATCTAGACAATCGTGTTTGTCAAAGAAGAGATTTTCTTCTCAGAGACTTACAGAACATCACCCTAAAAAGCTTTGAAATTACAGAATCGCAGGTCCAAAGCATAATGACCCTGCAGTGTTATAATTTACTGGAGGTTTTAAGAGTCATGAACATCACTTGATCTAAATATTTGGTAAAGTTAAGAAAACAGGACTCTGAGAGGTGAAGTGGTTTGTCCATTCAACACTGTATTTCAGCCACCCTATCCCACACACAGTTGCTTGGAACAAGTGATAACTCAAAAAATATTGGAAATTTGCACGACATGAGCCTAAAACTAAAGGTTGTCTGCACTCAACGATAAAAGCCATCACTGAATGAGTGCCGGAATGCCACACAACATGGTGTGTACATAATCTTTACCACATCTCTATATTATTCCCATTTTACAGATAAGCAAACAGAGGGATAGATTTAAGTTACCTGACCAGACCAACACAGCCAAGGAGCTGAAACCAGATCTCAAGGCCAAGCCATGTAACTCCAGAGCTACTGGCTATCACTAAAGTTGTGTTGGACTTTTAACTGGCAGCACAGTTAAAGGTGGACTTAGGCCAGGTTCTCTATACCTGTTCACATGAGCCAAGTTCATAACCACAAACTGAGGAATGAAACAGGTACTTTTGGAGCCCAGAATATCCACTACCACTCTGAAGGCAAACTGCAAAAACAGACACCGCTTGAAGACACCAAGCACCACGACTGTGAGTGGGAACACAGTTTTTATAGATTTCCCGTGCTCAAAGATTCCTTTGGTATTAAATTCATGGAAAAAAATCCAACCCCATAATTTTCAAAAAAACTAATTCTTTGCTCATTTTTCTAAATTTGAGAAAGAGAAAGAGAGAGAGCAATGGGAGGAAGGTGTTTCAGGTCCCTGACGGCTGGTCTGCAAGCCATCCCACAGGACGGCCCCAGGTTCCCAGCCTTCTCACCATGCTGTTCTTTCCAGTGGGAAAGTTGCTAGTGGCCATGGGGACGTGACAACTCCTGACAAAAATCAGAAGAGTAAAGTCCACGCTAAGATGACCTGAGTATCTGCCTTGGGAAAGTCCCTCAGAGTGTAAGGGTTCCATGAGACACACCATCAAAATTGGTTAGAGTAAACACACACACACACACACACACACACACACACACACACACACACACCAGGTTTCTATCCTACCTCTGCCTCACACACCCTAAATGGTCATTCACCAAGATGTGGTCAAATACCATAGAGTCATGGCAAAGCAAGGGCTGTTGACGTATATGCCTGCTCCAGCCATCTGCTTACACTGAGGAGACCCAGGAAACCATTCTGCGTGGCAGAGCTAGAAAGTGAATAGGGAGCGTACAGAGCAGTCCATGTTTCCTCTGGACCCATTGAAAAGGGGCTGACAGCTGCCTAATGATGGGCTGGTGAAGGAAATCAATTTGGTCCTCACATTATTTTGAATCATGTCAAATACTTTTTAAAAGACTGCTCAGCCATTCCCAAAGCTAAAAAATTTGAGGTGTTTTTAGAAGTGTTTATGCTATAGAAATGTGCTTCGGAGCACTCTAGGCATTGTTACCAACTTCTCTAAAAGCCAGGGATTTTGCAGCCCCGACAGACAGATGTTCACCAGGCTTAGTACCTGTGCTTGCATCCAGAAAGAATCTGTCTGGCAGTCCTCGTCTGCCACTTGCACTCTACAAAGCTAGAACACACCACACCTGTGGGACGTTCCTTCCTTCCAGCCCGTCCTGAGCGGGCTCCAGGTTCTTCCAAAGCAGATCACCTGGCTCTGCCTCAGGAGACCAGAAGCCTGATACCCAAGATCCAACTGTTCCTCCTCCTAAACGTGCCAGGTCTACTTGGCAGAATACAGACCACAGTCCCCACAGAACACTAAAAGGCTGTGCTAATGACAGAGTGGTTTTTTTTGTGTCTTCTGCACTCTAAACAAATACTCCGATGAAGCAAGGTGGTTCGATGCTTGATTTTCCATTTGGACAGGTGGCGTTTCTTTGAAACAGATGCTGTTTGTTGGCTGTCACTGCATGTTTGGTGTTGGATGATGGGCTGAGTCATGTTTCAGAAGCCCTTAGGTTGTGAATAAAGACCTACACTGCCAATGCTGGTCACTAGGGAAAGGCAATTGGTAAATCCGCTAATTATGATCTATTGGCCCTTTTGTTGCCAACAAAATGTATCTAAACAAGCCTTTTTCTCTTTATGATGAATATTCCCTTCAGTTAGAGATGATGAGCTCTAATTGCCTAAGTAGGCATGGGTGGTAGAATTCACGCCAGATCGGCCTCAATTAAAATCTCAGCTAATAATTCTTCTTCACAAACCATCTACCAGAAGTTGAATGGATTTGCTAAGAGTAATACCCTCAACAGGACATTGGTCAAAGTCTGGTCTTTAACGGTGACTGTGGTTACATAGAGTCTTCCTGGTTTCCATGATCATGACATTTGTCTTTTGTCACGTGTCTTGTCCATGCCAGACGTATGGGCCAAGGTGACAGGAGCACATAGAGGGTACTAGGGAAGGTCTGGGACCCACTTCATTCAGCTTCCACACACACTGAACACTTTCCC